GTGTTCTTATATATTGACGTCTACAAGGCACATCTGGAACTCCGTACTCGAAGGGAGCACACCCTTGTCCGCCACATCAGTTGGGCTTCCACAGAAGTTGAAAGAGGAAGAGAGGATGAGAAAATAGCATCTTTGCCTTTCATCTGTAAAGTGTTGCCGGCAACACTTTAGTTGCACAAAACCATGTACATAAATGCAGTTCAGCCACTGCATTCCCTCATTCTTGATAAGATAGCTATGACACACCAACTCGCCAGTGCTTTATCAACCTAGTGAAAAGAAACACTTTCAGGCTGCCATCTAAGAAGGATATATTTGGGAATCCTCACCAACTTTTGTTTCACTTTAAAACATACAAAAAATATTTTAGAAATATTTGAAAAATAGTCTATTCGCATCCACACTTCAATATTCGAATTCGCTTTGCACCCAAGACTTTGCTGTTCATACAACTGTAGTTCTTACCGATCTGCCTCTCCATGGCATGAGGCAGTGGGAGGGGTAAGTACATGAACGGCTCGTAGGTCACCGAAACATGGCCACACTCAGAGCACACCACCTGCAACAAACCAGAGAGCGGGTTCCACAAGATCCTGCATTGCCTCAGAAAATGACATTCCACATAACAGAATATGAACAATTGTACTAATTTTGAAACTCAACTTCAGTAGACCCTCGATGATGTATTTAAAAAAAAAAAATTTGGGAAAACGTAATATCGAAATCGTACGATCTGAATCGGGTTGTTTTTAGTTTTCATGATTGCAAGCTTAGGAGCAGGGAAATCGTATTAAGCGGGAAAGTATTAACAAGGTTCTACTGTGGTGCTTCATGGTGCAGTCATCTTACAGAAGGCACAGCAGCAATAGCAATTTTGTTATGTCGGATGGTACGTCCTTCCTATCAATGCTAACAATGCTCTTCCCTTCTGAAGAATATTGCTGAACCCTCAACAAAAGACACGGAGAAGCACTTCTTTCTGATATGAAGTGTTCCTTGAAAACTCTGATCCATTTCCATCCAGGCACACTGATGTCTTGCACACAAATGCTCATTGCAACAATGCCTGTTATAACGGAGTTTACTTGTAGCATCCAAGCCAATATTCAACACCAAATAAAATAAATATTCATTGCATAATCTGCAAAACATGTTATCACATCTTTAAGGGGAGACACGGGTCTTTTAGAGCAAAAAATTGCCAAAAAATCAATTTTTCAAAATATTTTTTTTTGAAATCTCGACGTCCAAAAGAATCTATTGCCGGAATATTAACGCGTTCCGATTAGTATTTATTTTGTTATTGCGTTCTAAGGAGACTTTTATGATCACTCTCGCTCGAAAACGCGCCCCCAAAACGGGCAATTTCAATGCCGTCGTCTGCGAAAACCGTTAGCCGCAGCACGGCCATTTTGGAATCATTTGAAAGCTAAATTCTTCAGCAATCCGGTTTTAGCGAGAAAACAACTCTAAGTCTGGCGACTATGGAGCTACACGCCCCCGAAAAGGAGGGAATACTCGCACGGCATTGGCGCGTTTATACCACGTGGGGCAAATCCTGCTCTACGATTGGACGACCGAAAATTTCGTCTGCCCGACTGTGTGCAACAATGCGCGACTCCTTGTCACAAATTGTTCGGACGCGACGATGGCTGGCGGGCGACGCAAATTCGCGACAGCTCATGCCTACGGCAAAAAACGCAAGCGTCGGTCTCGGATACCTGAAGCAGCGTCGGGTGAATCGACGGCGACGAGCTCCGCGACATGCGCCAGCGAGTGTACGATATCTACCGAAGCTGCAGTCGCGCAAGCGATGCCTGTGGCCGACGACACGAGGACAACGCGTGTCGATACGCATTTTGTGACAGAAGCGGAAAAAGTGGCAATTGAGCATCGCGCGGAAGAGCAACGACAGAAGCTGTCTTCGTTATCAGCTACCCGCCGAAAGCGGTCGCTTATCGGAGATTCCCCGGAAGCAGGGGGGGTCCGGCACCGAGTTTACGCTGCTAAGCCTACCGCTGCTGAACCAACTGCTTCGGTGCGCGAAATGCGAATTCTGCTCTGGCCCATTGAACGTTTCACGGGGCGACCGTGAGTACGGATTGGCAGTTAGAATAGTGGTGAACTGTGCCGTCTGCGGAGATGTCAGCGCCGGATGGAGCTCGCCGAGAGCAGGGGGAAATGCGACCTGCAACCCTTTCGAAGTGAATGTGCTTGCGGCTCGTGCAGTTATGAGCACGGGCAATGGGCAGACCGCGCTAAACGACATTTTTTCGGCGCTGAATGTGTCTCGCCGTGGAATGCACAACAAAACGTACCAAGGCTACGTCAAAACCAAGATGAACCCTGCCGCGATGAACGCATCCGCGGTTATTATGAGCGAGTGCGCAACAGCTGTGAAGGCCATCTATTCTGAACTGAATTTCGGGAACCCCGGCAATATCGCAGTTTCCTATGACGGGACTTGGCTCACTCGTGGCCACTTGTCACACATTTGTGAGGGAACTGTAATAGAACTGTTTTCGGGGTATGTGTTGGACTTTAAAGTTCTCTCGAACTTCTGTTTGGGTTGCGAGATTGGCCCCAAGGACGACGACCCTCGATGCAGTGAGTGGCGAGCTCGGCACAAGTGCCAAAAAAACTCTTCGAGCAAGCCTAGCCAGATGGAGGTGGAGGCTGCCAAAATTCTGTTTCGCCGGTCCCTCGAAAAGCATGGATTCCGCTACACAACAATGTTGTGCGATGGCGATAGCCGCGCTTTCAACAGCCTTCAGGAGGAGCAAGTTTATGGCTTCGTGGCTATCGAAAAGGAGGATTGCGTAAATCATATACATAAAAGGATGGGTGCTGCACTGAGACACCTCCTGCAGAAGAGCAAGGGGGAAGGTCCGCCAAGCCTAAGTGGCAAAGGAAAGCTCACTGCTGAGCTTGTAACGAAGCTTACAAATTATTATGGTTGGGCACTCAAGGCACACCAGGGAAACATCGATGAGATGGAGAATGCTGTCCTTGCCACTTACTATCATGTGACTTCTACTGATGCAAAGCCACAACATTCACGGTGCCCAAAGGGAGAAGACTCATGGTGTGCCCACAACAAGGCAGTGGCAAGGCAGCAGGCTCCTCCTAAGCATCGGTACAACCTCCCGGAATATGTTGCAGAAGCGCTCCTTCCAGTGTACACTCGCCTCTCAGATCGAAAGCTGTTGGAGCGCTGCCAAAGAGGCAAAACTCAAAACTCGAATGAGAGCCTTCATTCAGTGATCTGGTCGCTTGTACCGAAAACCAAGCATGCCTCGCTCTTCACAGTCGAAACTGCTGTTGCGGAAGCGGTTGCTCGGTTCAATGCTGGAAAGAAACGTGCTTCTGAGGCCATTTTGAAGGAGCTGCATTTGAACCAAGGCAACACAGATGTTGAAAGATGTCTGCAAAAGGACCAGCAGCGGCTAGCGGCATGTGACAAAAAGCATACCAGAGCAGAAGACTTCAAGAATGCCATGAAGAAGAGGCGTGTGAAAGAGAGCGATGGTGATTATGAGCCTGGTGGCTTCTAGAGCAAAAAGGGCTCCCATCTGTTGCTTTTTTGGCAAGAATTAAACCTATATATAGTCTTCAAACTTCTTTTTGTGTTTTCTCAAAATCAGTTTTTTGCCTATGTGCTATACTGTTGCCCACAGTATCTTTTGATCTAGTGATCAGATTTCAACGATTCTTGTTGCAATTGACAGCTTACGAGTTCCTATACACAATAAGACTACTAAAATTTGTATTTAGTCAAGAGAAAATTTTTTATGCGCTGATAAATCTCATGAAAATTCCCATGTTCCCAACCATTATATTACATATGGCAATAACTTTTATAAAAATAGAGCTAAAATTACAGTGATAGTATAGTTGTGATCCTTGATTATTCTAGACTATGTCCATATAAAGTGTTCAAGGATATTTAATGATTAAATTGCAGAATAATTGGGCAATCCAACTATTCATTATTTATTCAATATCTCTAAAACTACTTGAGATAAAAGAAAACGGATTGCATATATCTTCACAGCAGGTTAAAAGATACGTTGCCTGAAAATTTCATTTGAATACAATAATAAACAGAAAATTTTTTTAGAACACCAGGGTCTCCCCTTAATAATGAATAATTGTTGTGAAATTGCGAGAAAATAAGCTTATTTACTTTGGATGCCTATGCTGCTTGCTTACGCAGTGGTAAAACTCGCCTAGAAGTTCGGCAGCATTGTTTTTGTCTTGCACAAAAAATAAACAACTGGTCGTGTCAGTAAGTTATAACAGACCAGTGTCAAAAGAGTAACCATCAACCTTGGTACCTTCTCAGCATATGATTGTAGACATATACAGTGAAACTTCGCTGTTACGCTGCTTTTCATCGGTCCGGGAATAGCTTCTGTAGAATTTCATGTATTGGGAACCCTGCTGTTACATGTTATTCCTGCTGTGGACGCTGCAGTCGCCATCGATGCGATCATCTATGGCGACGACAAAGCTCTAAAGGTGCGCTCACATCCAATGCTCATAAAGCAAAAGCGCTGCTTGCCACAACTGCTACGATCAGAATTGAGGTAGAGACAATCATAGACAATCATCACCGCAGTTTTGAAGGCATGTGTGCAGCCAGTGTAGACAGGCTGAAACGAATCTACCGTATCCCATAACCACTGCGCATGAAATAGAGGTCACTATCAACGTGATCATCACTAGTGACTATGCAGCTCTGAAGGTACCCAGTTCACACAGTGATAGGTTAATGGTAGGGGTGTGCGAATATAAAATTTTTCGAATACGAATCGAATACGAATATTCATGTTCGAATATCGAATCGAATATCGAATATCAAAGGACAAATGCCTCCACAGTAACAATAATTTAAGATGTATTTATCTAAAAAATACACAACAGCCTGTCTGTTAACACAACATACACTGTTATTTGGAACACAATCCAAATAATGACTAGCTGTTATTATGAAACATAATGACTACATGTTATCATGGAGGAATATGAGTTGCTCCACATGATCAGGCAGGAGGCGCTCCCTCCGAACAGAGACAACCTCCACTGCTACTGAAAAGGCACGCTCGCTTGGAACTGAAGTGGCTGGTATGGGCAAGTACTTGGGGCAAAGCTTTGCCAGAATGGGGTATCTGAAGGTGCCCACAGTCCGCCACCAGTCACATGGGTCACTGTCTTTCTTCAGTAGGGCTTCTTCAGAATACGCTTTAATTTCCCATTCTGAAGTAGACAGTGGTGTACTTGCTACTTGACTACTTGCAAGATTATCAAATGCACTCCAAACATCAGAGGATGGCTGCACAAACTGTTGTGGCTCCTGCACTTTTGCTGTTGGCTGCACGACTTCCACAGCAGGGCATAGGGCAACATCCTGAAGCACCAGATCTTTCAGCCACACCAACTTTTGTTTGTTGTTTCTGAATACCGTTGACTTGAAGCGTGGGTCCAAAAACATAGCCAAGCATGCTTCTTTGTCCTCGGTATATAAGGGGAATCTGGTATTGAGAGACCTTGCCAGTTCCTTATGAAAGCCTGTTGTGCCGCAAAAGTTGCTGAGGCAACTTAGCATACCAAAAATAATTGGTATCTGAGTGGAAAGTGATGGGTATTTGTCTGCGCTAGTTATCACAGTTGCATCATATAAGGGCTTCAGTGCGTCCAGATATTCAAGAGCCTCTTTCCATTCTGCTGAGCAGAGACCATCAATGCTGCAATTTGACGTTGCCAGCTCAACAGAGACAGCCTCCTTCAATTCCAAGAGGCGGGACAGCATTAGGTATTGGCTGTTCCACCTCGTATCTACATCTTGCACCAGACGAAGTGGATCCTTGCCCATCTTCTTCTGGTACTCATCTAATCTCTTTTGCGCAGACGAGCTGTGCTTATAGTGGCCCACGATGTGCCTCGCTTTCTTGCACAGACGGCCAATTGACGGTGTGTTGGAGATTGCATCGTGAATTGCTAGCTGCAGGGTGTGGGCGAAACACGCACGCTCAGTCCACGGGAGCCTTCTGACCGCGGCACGGATGTTGCGTCCGTTATCTGTGACGATGTGTTTGCGGCAGCCATCCGGTATTTCCCATTCCGCGCACATCTCGACAAGCATTTGCGCAATGTTTTCGGCGGAGTGGCTAACAAGTTCCATGTGGCGAGTGTTAAGCGTGAACCACTTCATCCTAAAACTTGGAGTGAGAAGGTGGCAAGTGAAGCTCACATAACTCTCGTTGGCGCGTGATGTCCACATGTCGCTGGTAAAGGTGACTGCAGATGTTCCCCCTTCGAAAGCACTGCTGAGCTCGTCCTTCACTTTCTTCCGTGTGTCATCAAACAAACGCGGAACAAGGGTACGTGAAAGCGTGGTGCGCGACGGTAGGCGATAGTTAGGCACAGCCTCTGCCATGAGTTCCTTAAATCCGTGGTCTTCAACAAAACTATATGGTTGCAAATCAAGCGCTACCGTGGCAGCCACCTTGGCATTGAGTGCTTGAGTTTTCTTTTCCGACAAAGGGTCAGTGCGGTGCACAAAATCAAATATCATTGACTGGTCTTTCTCTGGCGCACCTGCTGCAGTCATCCGGTACTCCTTCATCGCGGTTGGGTGCTGTTTTAGATGGTTAACAAGAGGACTAGTCGTACCCGTCGGCGTTTTAAGTGTTGCGCCGCATGTCTTGCACTGCGCCAACGACGACGATGTCTTCACAAAGTGCTTCCAGATAGCGCTTCTTTCCCTTCGTTTCGGCGCCGTGTCTTGATTGTTCCTCCGTTTCACAGGCGAGTCGTCATAGCCTCCGCTATCTGCCATGGCACTTATGGCAGCTAGCAGAACTGATCGTAGCGGCTAACAGCACTAGCCAACGCCGCTGACCCTACTAACGTAGCACTGTGCACTACATGGCACACTACCACTACTCAGGCGCTCTGGTGGCCAGCACGAAAAATATTTATATGCATATACAGATATATAAAACTGAAAGGTCAGCGCATGATTACCGTTTCATATATTCAATATGTTTAGAATGCAGTCCAAGTTATTTAATGCATACTTGCCGGAAATACGACGTAACTTAGCAATAAAATCCCGAGTTGAGACTAACCGCTTTCTAGCTTGTTGTATAACTGTGCGACTGCTCACGTGCGGAACTTCCTCGAAAAAGGAAATAAATGCGACGTCATGGTACAAATTACCACTAGAACTTTTTTGTCACTTATTATGTTTTCTAACCGAACCGTTTGCCGACGGTGACGAAGTTTCTGCTTTAGCACGCGCGTGCACGGTCGTGCGTTATCAAGCGATGTTTTGATGAGACAACGCGGCAACGGTTATAAGCTTCGTTCCTGCACACGAGGTCCCGCATAGTGAACGTGTGGTAGTGCACCACGTTACGGCGGCATAAGAAAAGCTTGCAATACGTTTACACGAACGTCAACTTTGCTGCTGATTGTTGACCGTCGCTGGCCGACATAGTGCCTCCGTGCACTTCTGACGCTTATCGCCCCTCTGGGCAACGTTTTAATATGTCTGAACCCAGCGGAAATATTAAAGAAGAGCTATTTTCCCCATGATAATCCAATCAAATATTCGATATTGTCGAATATTCGAAGTGGATTCGAACTTTTCGAATACACTTTTTTCGAATCGAATACGAATAGTGCGAATTTAATATTCGACGAATATTCGAAACTTTCGAATATTCGCACACACCTAGTTAATGGCATTAAGGTCATAAAAAGACACTAAGTGCTTCAGCGTTCAGCACTTAGTCTCCAGTTGGCCTCAAGCAAAGCTTTAACGCACACATTCCCGGCAAGCAGCTGCGCCCTCCCTACCCGATTCATTAGCGTGTCAGAAAAACTTGAGTTCTTTTGACCGCAAAAAATGTTTCTTGTGTACATCGTGGTGTAAACATGGATATTGCTAGTTTTTTGGTGATACAAGCATTTCTGTTACAGCATGAGGCTTGTATAAGTGTAATTCTACCATGCATGTTTTGGTATGGAACTGCTCCAGTTAATGCAAGCTGCACACACGTTGAAAGTTAGTGACTTCGCGAGTCCTACCCCACGACAGTGGCCCCATTCGTCAGCAAATTTTTGGCCAGGCAAGCATCACCACACTGCCACCATTACAGCTTGAACTGACCTGGTACTTCTTCCGTTTCCAAAAAAAAAATAAGCGCATCACATATACGATCTTGTGAAAGACATTCAAAGGGTCGCAATGAAGGTGCTCAAGGAGACCTGAGGAAAAAGTTATAGAAATACTAGTGCGAAGCTACCTAGGCTCACTGTTTCCATCTCCAAAAGTCTTATTTTGGAGAACTCTAGGTGCATCTAACCACTTTTCCAAATGAAGTTAGTTGTATAAAAGTAAAGTACAGCTTGGGCAACGTTGAATGCCTGAATACACAGTATAAGGAGCTAATAAATCAGAGCACCCACCGTGCTGCGAAACTGTCCCTGGAAGGTGTCGACAACGACAGACCGGTTACGGGCCGTGTACTCATCCCAGGCATCCTGAGCCTGCTGCTCTTGCTCGTCAATCTTCAGTCCTACGTCTAAGCGGGGACGCTTGGCCAGTGGGGGTGAGCAGCGGCCATTCACTAAGATGCCATCCTGCACGCATGCCAGCACAACCATGAACTGACAGCAGCCTCACACTCACTGGAGGAATGCTGGAACATGCCACAAAATCACACGCACATAACATGGCAAGGGAAACACAGCGTGTGGGGCAGGTTGGTAAGGGTGTACAACATATGTAAGAATGGCAGACTAGGCGTGCTGGTTTAGAATATTTCTTCAAATACAATATTTATTCAAATCTAGGCCAACGACTTTTTTTCAAATTTCTTCGAATCAAACTCCAGGGTCAGCTTTGATTCGAGGATTTTGAATAATGCCCTGTTTTTCTTTGCAAAAAGTGATGCCCAACAAGCACCACCTAGATGATATTGTAGCTTTTAATAGCTAAGCCAACACCTGGCTTAAGTACCCACGTGAGGCCGCGATTTTGAAGTTTGCGACAAGTGTTTAGGCAAGCCATTTATTCCGAGTCGCGCTTTGAGTGGTCTGTGTGTGGCACAGCCTAACGGCACCAGGCGATGTCATTATATAGTGCCGCTTATAAAAGTAAAGATCTCTTAGCACAAAGTTGTCATCTGACATTCAAGCCGGGAGGGACTTTGGAGTGCACGGAAAAAAAATGTACGTTGCTGGAGGGTCTGCAGTGTGCGAGGACAACCCGGGAATTTTCACTGTGCGCTCTTTCAAGAAGTGCGGCATATCCAATGCGCTTGATGGCAGCGGGATCACACACTATTTGAAGACAGCGGCAAGGAAGTCAGCGACGGGGGAAGCAGCGATGACGACTGAGCGCAGCATTATCAAACCCAGCATCTTCATGATAGAAGCACCGCTAAAAAAAAATGACGACGAAGAAACACACAACAGGACTAGTAGCTGTATGTTTCTTGAGTTATTTGCATCACGAATCAACTGCTTTGTTTCATCTTCAGGCTCAATAAATGTTTTTTCTTTGTGAACGCTGTCTTCCCCGTTTCGTTCAGCCTAGATTCGAGGTAAGTTTTTTTTTTTTTTTTTCCAGGCTTCGGACTTTTGGGGGGACTATTTAGAATCAGGGTCGGCCTAGATTCGAATGAATACAGATGTAAGGCACAACGGTGACAACTTGCATGAGTGTGTTCTCTTCGTTTCGTCATTGTCGTTTCCGCACCTTAGGCTTCAAATAAACTTAAGCGGGAAGGGGGCGATCGAAAGAAACGTTTTTGTTTGTTGACCTAGAGTAATGAAATTTGGCGGGCATACTGAAGAGTGTCCCGAATGACTACATATGAAGTTTCGTTGCAATATCATAAGTAGTTTCCCAGTTATATATATTACATAATCTGATGACATAGTCTGCTGGTGAAAAGCCTAGCATTCTAACAAAACATGCCAGGAAGGGCCAAGTGGTTTTGATCTTTACTCAAAAGAACACTACAAGGAAAGGCATTATCAAAAATTGTCTGTTCCTTTTAGTTCTTTTTACAAATAACATCCCCATCATCTTCATGTATTGCATCAGAACTTTTCATGCACTAATTATCACATTAAAAAAAACCAGATCGCAAGCAAGGTAATGAATAATGCCATCCTGTCGGCAAGGCTTCAAGGAATAAAAAAAAAACAGCATCGAAATCGGTCCAATCAGTGCCACGCTATGCTTTTCCCAAGCAACACTAAGTGCCCAAAACATACTTCAGAGAAAATGGCTTTCGAAGTATTTATAACACTTAACCTTCATCAAAATGCACCGGAACAGTTACATACAAAGTAGTCTTTGGTGTCCATGCCTGCAGGTGGCCTTTTGGTCCTCTGCTTTTTTTCATCTGGTGCATGTTTGATGATTTTCTAGCATGCTGGCTGTCCTTTTCTGCAGCCCATTGGAGGGTAACGGCTCCATGTTTTACCCCTAGTGCAGTGCATCGCTCGGTGTAAGCTCGCAAGCTGCCTGCAGTATACTTTGCTACTGCTTCATGCACTGCTGCTTCCACAGTGAAGAGAGAGGCACGCTGCTGCTTGGATATCAGTGACTAAATCACCAAGTGGAGGCTCTCGGCATCATTTCGAGTCTTGTCGCCGCTACATCGAGCCAGCAGTTGAAGGTCGGAAAGGCGTTGATAGATGGGCTGCAGTGCTTTTATACACTGGCTGATTCATCACTGCCCAGAAGTCATTTAGAGCAGTAGGTCCTTTTTCAATGCTTCTGATTGCCTGCACACTCCAGCATACATATCAAAGACTCTCACAGCTTTTTTTCTCTTGGACGACCAGTCAGAGCTGGCTGTGCCGGAAGAATGACATATTAGCACCATTTTTCACGGCAAGTCCAAGCCTTGTGTCCCGGTCCACAGCGAGGTCTTGCTCATGGCAAATTGGGCAGTGTTTTACCAATCATCGCGTTCAGAGCGGCCATCTGGAAAAGCACGTACAGTTGTGCCCGACTATATCGCACCCGTTTATATCAAATTATCCCGTATGTCTAACAATTCCTAAACACGGTAAGTTTACATTGAGAATATATAGCAAAAGTTACTGTTTTATCGAACAAAAATAGCAACGACAACTGATATATCAAACTCCATGTGCCTCAAATGTGCCCCAGCAAGTTGGCTTTCCCTCGCGGTGACGGGGAAAACTGCCAGCGCCACCCTAGAAAAAGTTGGTTAGACCCGGTTGAGCGCGGGCGAACACCCCCCTCCAAGAAATGATCCTGGCCCGCTCGCAGCGCTTACAGCCAATCAGGGGCCGTCGTGCTCCCTCCGAGG